GCGCTCAGTCACGGAGTGCGTGAAAAAGTTTGTGAGGCTTGAGTGTTGGTGTCATCCTGCTCATCTCTCGTGACAGGAGCCCGCTGGATCTTAACGCCGACTGAAATCAGGTAAGGCGGTTTTAATTAACAGGTGGGAGAATGAATAATGCAAAGGATCGCTCGTTTGTTACGCAATTCTTGATCTCAAAGTGCGTGTAACTGCTCTAACTCTCATCCATCACACACGGGCATGAGTTTAATTCAGAGTTTAAGTAACCTCATTTGTTTATCCTAATTATTCTTTTACAAAATGAAACATGCCAGTACACTTGAAGTTATGTAACTGCAAAACACCTGCTTAGTCCTACGTAAACCCTATATATATATATATATATATATATATATAATTTATGTATTATTAGTAATCCAGGCATTTATAGCAAGATAATTTAATTTATTTAGCATGTTAACCAGACTGGATGGAGGTGCAAAGCAGTGAGTGTATTGTAAAGGTTTTGGGCTCTTGTCATGCACATGAGAGAGAGGAGGTCGCTTAGAGCAGGGGCTGTAGTTTGTTCTCTGAAGTCTGTCTATTCAGGCTGCTGCGGCGTTTCACAGAGAAATAGGTCGAACCTCTTTCACTGTGACCCAACTTGACTGGGAAAGGGTAATTGGCAAACCCAGAGATAACTCAAATACCCTGCTGAGACCCTAATAGCAGACACAAGCTTTACATGAAGAGTTGTAAAGTTATTTTCATGCAGCAGTATACACCAAATCTTGATAGAACATTGGAGAATGAGGATTGAGTCATTTTCACTTTTGTTTTTGTTTTTGTTTTGTTCATCACCCTAAAACGTGCTTTAGGTGGTAGAACATTTAAACTGAATATCAGAGTCAGACAAATCTATCTATCCATCTATCTATCTATCTATCTATCTATCTATATATCTATCGTGTGTGTGTGTGTGTGTTTGTGTGTGTGTGTGAGTGTTTACACTCATGTAAACTCATCAAACCTATATGAGTTCTTTTCTTCTGCGAAACACAGAAGAATTCATTTTGAAGAATGTCTCAATAATTGACCCGCACTAAATTTTAATGTGTGGCCAAAAAAAAGAAAAAAAAGAAACATTTTTAAAAATATTTTAGATTATATGATCAAATAAGTCATGGCAACATATATATATATATATATATGGTGTGTCTATATATTTTATTTATGAACTTATGTTCAGCTGATCTTTCAAATAGTTACATTTGAACTATTTTTGAATTTTTCGGATCATCAGTCATCAAGGCTGGTAAATATTGGTCACAGACATGGAGATTTTCCTTGAATTTCACCAAGCTGATTATTCACTAAAAACTCAGACAGATCATGTTTTCAGGCCAATTCAATTCTTATTTTGATGTAACGAACTGCTTATATCTAAGTGTTTGAGCTGTTTACTTTATTTAATGAGTCTTCCCATTAATGCCATTATATTGTTCATTCAGACTGATTCGCAAACAATATGTAACATTATATATGTAACATTAATTTAACTAATCAAAATAGTAAAAAAAAATTCTGAAATGTTTGGAACAATGCAAGGGTGAGAAAATGATTATAGAATTTCCATTGTGGGTAAGCTATCCCTTTAAGGGAATAACCCCCTAAAGACAAGACAGCAATAAATCCACTTACATAGCATACAGAAAACAGTTCTCAAAGAAAATGTGCTTGGGCTGTTCAAAATGTGAAGAAACTACTCACCATCAAAAACCTGACAATCCTTAAAGAGTTACATCGAGTTCAGTCATGATAAATCTCTTATCATTATGTCCTGAAGCCTTTCAGCTGTTCTATACTGGAGCCTGATGCACATAAATACCATATAAACCTGTAATCCAATTTATCAACATCTATCTAAACTCCACACATCTCTCTACGTCTGCCGCCACCAGCAGATTTTCTCCTAGGTAATGTCTGTGTTTGGATTCTTGCACCATCTTAGAGATAAACTTCTTTGTGTGATTCCTGCTGTGGCGAGAATGGATTTGGAGTGATTTTCTAAAAGTCAGTGGGCAGTGGAGACTCTGCTGTTCTCAGTAAACACAGAGTTAATCCCAAGAGGCACTAGGGCTGAGTGCCCACTTAATGGCCATTTAACATTTAGCCAGTCTCCAAGTGCAAAGGCTGTTCATTATGGACCAAACAGTTTTTGAGAAAGTTGATAAATATATATTTTTCTCTCTTTTTTAGTCTGAGTTTTTTTGTCTTAAGCATCTCCAACATATATTTGTAGCAAAAATTTTTTTTTACAAAATTATTTTGTGACATTTTTTGCCTCGCCACCATTATGTTTTGGGTTGACAGGCCTTTGGTATGCAGTTGCTAAGATGTGTGGGTGTTTTTAGCACATTATTATGAAATTATTAGGTGGTTCAGAGTGGTTTCTAGGGTGTTAATGGTTGTTAGGTGGTTGCTTAATGGCCCAAGTCAAAGGAGCCCACCAATAAGTCTTCTGGGTCTATACCATAAATCCGGTTTAGATGGTTAGCCAGGTAACTTTCAGTTTAGTTTGTGCCAACCCTGGGTTTTAGGCACCATGAAAGTAGAGGTCTGCATTCCCGCGGCTCTTCCACAGAAACTGCGGGACCCGACCAGATTTTTTGCGCCACGGGATTAAATTCCCGAATAAAACGCGGTAGCGGTCGGTAACTCTGGTGTAATTTGAACGGGAGCGGGCGGTCTAACAATATCCCGTTCCCGACGTCCATTTAGAACAGCATATCTGCGCTTTATTCTTATTGACCACCGGTACAGCTTGCGCTCAGGACTGTTATGCACGCATGCTTTAAACGTCACGCGTTTTATTTGCGTGCAGACTACACTTTTATTTGTCAGCCTATCTCTCTTTCTTTCAGTATCGGAAATTTAAATGTGAGATTCTGGAAACGAGATCTAAATTTAGCGGGAACGGTCGGGTCGGGAAGAAACTTATTATAAGCGGACAGCGGGTGAACAAAGAGTGAATATATAGCGGGAGCGGGTGGGT